AATGGTACTAACTGCTCTATAGGAAATGCTGATTCAGGGATAGTTTTACATTGTCGATATAACTGTCACGATGGAGGGGGAAGATTGTCTAAATGGTGCGATTGGAGAGAGATCAGCTAAAAATTAGGTTAGGCTGAATTTTATAAGAATGTATTCTGAGACGTGCTTGTTTTTTTCGAAATGGATATGGTTAATGCCATGCTGTAGAAAATTCCAGGCAGGTGAACCCTCCACCAGAATACTCGTAGTTACACAATGCACTTTTACATTTAGCCGTCTGTAACTTCTTCAGTGAGTACATCCAAGCTCAAACATCCCCCTGTCTTGAAAGTCCCAGCTTGAACGTCCCATTCTCTTGGCAGAAATGTCCGATAAAATGAAATGTGAATGTAGCGAGACCAAATGTCAGGCTTTGTTTATGTTATTTTACCGATCTTCCGAAGCGGCACACATTTTTTCAGTATGTAATATCAATATAAGTCTTCATTTGCTCACAGAAGTTTACTGTGAAATTGTATTTTAAATATTTTTTTCTTGTTCCCCGTGTCCTATAGCATCTGTAATTCTTGTTTTGGGAAGAAATATTATAATTATTTCCTTACCTGCTGCCATGAACATAATTTGTAAGCAGCACAACACAAGAAACTTAGAAAGCTACAGAATTTGTTCAAAAATCATTCAGAATCACTTTTAGGAAGGTCTTAACTAAGATAAAATCCTGAACTAGTTGCAGCACCGTTGAGACCACATAATTTTTGCTTTTTTTTTTTTTTTTGTATGTATGAACAAATGTGTTGAGATATATTGTAACTTGTGTGTGTACAATATATATAATGAAAAAAAAAGTTGTTGTTTTTTATATGTATATAGATTAACTAACCTATTTTCATAAAGGATACAATTCAAGGGGACTTTCCAGCTTGGGGACTGTAGTGGCTAAACAGAAAGCCAAAGACAAGGTATAAAAATAACTTTAAATTTAATAAAGTCAAGAAAAGATATAAGAAAAGATATAATTTAACAAAGTCGCAAATTAGGCAAATTATTAAATAAAAAGCCAGTGTAACTTAAATCAAACTGAACAGAACAAAACAAACCCACCAGACAAAGGAACAGGGGTGTTTAAATACTTGAGGACCAACTAAAGCTAAACACAAGAGCAAGGAATTACACTAAATAATTAACTAAACTACTAACTTAATCAAAGTAACAAAAAGGCAAATACTTATAATACAGAAAATAAAAAGTGATAATAAAGTGACCTTAACACAAACTAAAAAACTAACTAAATAGTGCCCCCCCCCTTTGCTGAGTCCTGATGGTCTCTCCCAAGTCCTCCATCCGGTGCTCAAAAAAACAAGTGTAAGTAAATCAGACTTATATTAACTAAATTGTGTGCACTCAAATTTGAATATCAGTCTAAATAAAGGAATTAAATTATGTCTAATGTGATTAACTTATTGTAAATGAAATTAAATTATACTGACACTATGGAGTGGTGGCAGAGGTATCCATCACAGAGACCTTCCAGCCAAGGGGACTTTGCAGCTGGTTCCCACTCCATGACTTCTGCAGTACTTGGTGAAATCCTGCAGTCTCTTGTAGATGTGGGGTAGCCCTGCTCACAGCACTGTGTGTGAGTCAGCACTTCTGTTGTTGCGCCCCTTCAACACACTGATAGAGACTGCAGCCAGAGCCGTGAGCCTCTCGACACTGTGAACACTCAGGCTTATCAGAGGGGCCAGTTCTATCACACCATGTAGTCTACAGCAGTTATGAACTCTTTATAATGGACTTAGATGGAAGATAATGGCCATTTTGAAACTCATCCCCTGGTGATGGAACAGTATTTGTGATATCTTAAATAGTTCTATAGCTACGTNAGTTAGAGGTCAGATCTGTGGAGAGGCGGCCCCGCTCACAGTCAGAATGCTTGTTAATCTAGGTATTTTTGAGCTATAAAACCACCTGTAATTGAATAAATAAATGTAAGATAGAGCTGTTTAATGTCATACTGCGGAACATTCCAGGCAGAGCAATGACATATCTATAGAAAAAAGCAGGTGATGGAACCCCAACCAAAAAGTTACACAGTATCCACCTTTAAGCATCAATTAGTATCTAAGTTTCAGTACTTTTCAAAGCCCTACTCCTCTCTTCTGCAGTACATTTGTTCCAGACCTGGTTGACCTCTGCAGTTAGCCTCACGTAGCCTGTGCTAGCTTCCCCGTGCCCCCTCCCACCTTCTCCATAAGAGCTATTTTATTCTCAGCTCCGGTGACGTAGGCTGCACTTCTGAAGCTACAACAAGTGCCCTCTGCTCATCGTCACTTTCCCTCCGGGCACATAAATAAAGACCACTTACTTTCTTTTGTTATCTAATCTAGTCATGGGGCAGATAAGGTCTCTGGGTTAGGAGGTTAGGGTGTAGCAGAGGGAGGGAGGACACTCTTAAGTTTGTCATTGTTCTGGCCTTAGTTCTGACGGTACGTATTGGGCGATTATGTGTTCTAATGTGGAAAGTCCCAAGTGAATTTAAAACCAGAGTCATGGCCCTGAGCTGGTGATTCAGAAATTTTTCTCACCAAAACCAAATACTTCCTCGGCACAGTTTTGGCAGTGTTAACTAAAAAGAGTCAAAGGAGGACTAAACACATTGAAATGACTTGAATAAAGCTACATTTTAGAACAAAACTGATATACTACTACTAAGAGATCTATACCGGACTAAAGGAGGTCTAGGGCTGGGCAGTGAATCAAATTTGTGTTTTTAATAAATGAGATGTTGAAAAATTGCAAAGTTGTAGAATTGACTGAAGGAGATTACATATCTATACAAATGTAATTGAAGGCAGTTTACAGTTTCTTAGAAAACAGGACATGGAACTTCCCCTGTTTAAAAGACTAGCCCCTGCTCTGACTTTGATTAAAATGGATTCAAATCATGACTGTCCAGTGTGTGCAAAAACAAAATGTATATAATTTTACCGTATTGTCCAGTAGGTTTAGCCATGGGAATGTCAGAAGTGTGTATGCTGTAAATTGAAATAAGGTATAAAAACAGAATTGAAACAGCCATTTACTAAGTCAAAGCAAGAACTAAACCAGGACTAAACCAGGACTAAACCAAGTCTAAACCAGGTCTAAACCAGGACTAAACCAGGTCTAAACCAGGTCTAAACCAGGACTAAACCAGGACTAAACCAGGTCTAAACCAGGTCTAAACCAGGACTAAACCAGGTCTAAACGAGGTCTAAACCAGGACTAAACCAGGACTAAACCAAGTCTAAACAGGACTAAACCAGGTCTAAGCCAGGTCTAAACAGGTCTAAACCAGGACTAAACCAGGTCTAAACCAGGTCTACTAAACCAGGACTAAACCAGGACTAAACCAGGACTAAACCAGGACTAAACCAGGTCTAAACCAGGACTAAACCAGGACTAAACCAGGACTAAACCAGGTCTAAACCAGGTCTAAACTAGGTCTAAACCAGGTCTAAACCAGGTCTAAACCAGGTCTAAACCAGGTATAAACCAGGTCTAAACCAGGTGTATGCTTGGTCATAACAAGGCCTAAACCAAGTCTAAACCAAGCCTAAACCAGGTATAAACCAGGTCTAAACCAGGTCTATGCTTGGTCATAACAAGGCCTAAACCAAGTCTAAACCAAGCCTAAACCAGGTCTAAATCAGGACTAAACAATGTCACATTTATATGGCCAGTATAAATCAGATAACTGCTTAACTAACCCAACCCAATTAGATCAAACTTTTGGTGTCCACAAAATCAGGATCAACAAAAGCATAAATTAATTAGCAGAGTGTCTGAAGTATTTGGAAAACAAAGTGCAATGACTTTTAACTCTTTCAGTCTTTAGCATTTTCATTTTGGTTTTTGTCACAGTAGTTTGCCCTTTTTATATAATTTCCTTGTCAAAACTTGCACATGTGTGAACGATCAGAAAGAAATCTGATTACGCACATCAGATGTAACTGATCACATGACATTTCAATAATTATATAACTCCAGAAGAATCATGATCAGATAATATCGGATAATGATAATGATCAGATTATAGTGTGCATGTAATTGTAAAGATAGCCACTGAGTCAAAACCAGAATCAAAGTAGAGCTAAACCAAGAACAGGTCAACCAATCCAAGTCTTAACATGCAGGATTAAAGTAGGTCTACATATGGCCTAAAGACAGAACTATATAAGCTCTTAACACTAAACTAATACTAAACCATCCGTGGTCTTATGAAAGCATGTGTCTACCTGACTAAATTAAATAAAGGAGTAATTATACTGAAGACTCCTGTACCAGCAGTGGGGCCGGACCACACTTTGAGAAGCACTCGTCTATAAGCTTTATTTTATGTCTGTCTCCTTGTCTTGGCACATCCGCTCCACTGCACCACTCTGCTGCACTGGTGCTAAATGCAGTGAAAAGTGAACAGATTTATAGCTAGCGTCATAAGAACAGCGCTGCTTAATAAAATGTCAGTTTATCATACACAGGCAACATACACTGTAAAAAAGAAAACCTCAGTTGCTTCTGTTAATTCATCATTCAATCATTTATACCGTAGTAAATAAATGGTGCTGTTAAGTTTGCATGTATATAAAAATAAATAAAATAAATAAATACTTTTGCAGTGCTTTCTGGAAGTGCCGCTTCTCAAAATCTTTAGTCCAAATTGCAGCACAAGACCTTTTCTCATCCATTTTTAACACAATTTGAAATGTATATAAAATGGAGAAAGTACTCAAACTTAGACTTAAACTTCATTGAGCCACAAAGGGAATTATTTGGACACAGTAGCTCACACATCACAATATATTAACAAACAGCTAAAATGCAAGTGGTTATAATAAATTAAAAATAAGTTGCAAAAGTAGCAAGAGACTGGTGTCAAATGAGGCATAAACTGAATAACTAGTTCTAAAAGCTAGAAATGTGATGTTGTATTGAATCCTGTTTTTTGTCTCTCTCTTCAGCATTCGTCGGTGGATGGCTTTGCGGAGCCCCCGGCCCCGCCCTCTAAGTCTGCGAGTCGCCACAGTCTCCCACGCTGTCGTAACTCTTTCACCTCGACCGAGGAGCACCCCCACATCGGAAACTACCGCCTCCTCAAGACCATCGGCAAAGGAAACTTTGCCAAAGTCAAGCTGGCCAGGCATGTCCTCACCGGGAGAGAGGTGAGAGGGACTTTGTTTTTGTTTTTGTGAAGGTTGTAATAGGAATGGAATTTTTGAAAACCGCATCAAACTTGGCCTATCCTATTCAAGTTAAAGGTACACTATGGCTTCTTTTCCATTGGCAGGTTCGCTTGGGGGCACTGATGTCAACCAAACATAACAAATGATTTCTTAAATAATAAATCAATTCTACATTGTATCTCAATTATATTCATAATTCTAAAGCTGATCTCAGACGTAAATTCCAAGTTTGTGCTGCTGTGAGACATGGCTAAAGCATAAAAACAAAACAACTTCCAGTTTATTGTCAGCTTTTTCTGCATTTATTTCACTTTTCTAAGCCTTTACACCACATTTGAACCTCTCTTTATGGGAAATATGATGGTTTATCACAAGATCAAGTCAGCATTTAGTGTTTCTTTTTTTTGTTGTAACCACGTCTGGAGCTTTACTGTACGCCGGCATCAAGACATATTTTGAGCATGAATATTTCCTGTGATTGAATAAATGCAGCCTACAGATTTTAACGGCATACCATAAAACAATAATATCTCCATAGAGACCTTTTAAAACAAGTATTAGCTCTGTTAGCCATTTAGCACCCTCAGTATATTCTAACTTGTGAAAATCTGTGGTATTTCTGCATTGCTTCACTCATTTCCTCCTGCACTTTCTCTTTACAATTTGTTTTTCAATACCTGAAATTGCTTCCTTTGTTTTGCTGGGTTTCAGATGACATCACAACATTCTACTGGCCCATATTACTTAATACAAAATTAATGTTTTTTGTTGTAATATAGAATTTGTTGGCTGTAGTCGCTGTCAGAAATGATCAGGTTTAACATTTGTTTATTTACCTTTTGGATATTTCATGCCAAAGTTCAGTGTAATCAATATGAGAAAACTGACTCTTCCCCCTCAGTAAGGATGTAACAACTGAAATATTGTGGTATTGTATCGTCAAAAGTCTCACAATAATATCCTGGACCATCACAATATATCGATTTATAAGTCTCTTTGCTTAAATTAATGGTTATGGTGCAGCAACAGCTAAAAAAACAGAGAGACCTACATAGACCATGATCCTTTTCTCCGTTTTAGTCCAGACTTCATGAAGAAATAAATGTTCTAAGCACTTTTAAATCTTTGTTCTTTGGATTATGTCTTGTGAAGGCATTTTAAGAGGAAAAAGTCACAGTTTTGTTACCTTCCACAAAATATTGCAATAAATATCGCACCGTGTATATCATGAACATATCGTAATGACAGATTTGCATATTGTTGCATGCCTAGTAGACAGTCAGGTTGCTCCAGTCCTGTCCTCCTCGCTGGCTGTAGTGATGGACGTGCTGCTCCTGGTGTGAGTGTAATTAAGGCCAGTGTCCCTCAAGAGGAGACAGAGCTGTGATCTGCTCTGCGTCTGAACCAGGCCTCCTGCAGCTCCCTGACAGCCCGCACCACTCACATCAGCTGGGTTTGAGACTCTAGGCTTTTACATGGCTACATGTAATCGTGAAAGAAGTGATTCCAGACCAGGTAGAGAGTTGAAAGAAGCCCCTTGATCTATCTGATATCACTATTGCTGGGTTTCAGACGACATCACAACTTTCTATAGGCCAGTACTATTTAATACAGATGAGGGCTGCTATAATCATTATTGTTCAACTGCAGATTTTTGTTGTAATATAGCATGGTCTTGGGTCTAGTCAATAATAGAAATTTTCACAAAATGAGACGAGAAACGAGACTGGGTCCATGAGAACAAGACAAGACGAGATTTTAACATAATTCCTAATATAGGCAAGGCAAGGCAAGGCAAGTTTATTTGTATAGCATAATTCGTACACAAAGTAATTCAAAGTGCTTTACAGAATAAGAAATACATTAAAATCATAATAAAAACAAATCAAAACATAAATATTAAAATTAAAAAAGAAGGGCATAAATTGGAGAGAAGAGTGTGGAATGAAAACCTTTCAGTCATATGCACAGTTAAACAGAAATGTTTTGAGCCTGGATTTAAACAGCGTCACAGAAGAGTCTGTCTCACATGTTCAGGAAGACTGTTCCAGGTTTTAGCTGCATGAACCTGAAACGCTGACTCCCCTTGTTTAGTCCTGACTCTGGGCACCAGCAGGAGGCCGGTCCCTGAGCTCCTCAGAGTGCGAGATGGTTCATATGACACTAACATGTCACAGATGGACTTTGGTGCTCGGCCATGGAGAGACTTGTACACAAACAGAGCTGCTTTAAGCTCTATTCTCTGAGGCACAGGAAGCCAGTGCAGAGACCTGAGCACAGGACTTATGTGCTCGTACTTCCTAGTTCGAGTGAGGACCCAAGCTGCAGCGTTCTGGATGTTCTGCAGCTGTCTCACAGCTCGTTTGGATATATATTGAATATATACACATTCACGATTCTATCTTGGCCTCACAATTTTTTTTGTTTATTTGATTTAATATTTTTGTTTCCATTCTACTGTAACTCTAGCCAGACTGGTGCCACCTAGTGCCTCTGCTCAATTTAAGTTCTCTCCAGTGACTAGGTCAGGAATCAGAATACACTAGATGGTTGGTTAAAGCCAGAACGAAGAGAATGTTTGGTGAATTTTATCAAGTAGAAAGATGTTATTTCCCTTCTTCCTGCGGGATTTGGGAAAAGCCTAATATACCAGTTAGCACCGTTAGAGGCGCATTACATACGTCACGACCAAATAGCAGAGATTGGATAAATGAAAAAAGTACCCACCTACCGTCGAGTGAACAAATTCTAACGCTGGTCAGACGGTTTCCATGAAGTGAAACCGAAAGATGAATCAGGCTACTGTAACTCACCAACACTTGACCCTTTTTTGTCCAATCCAAATGTGAACGCTTGGAAAAGAATCTCACAAGATTACTTTTTCATGTGTCTTTTGACAATTTAGTTTTACGAAATCTTGTATCATCTGTCCTAAATATGCATGAAGAATACGTGTATAAAACTTCATCTGAACACTTTTGTTCAAAGATGGTACTGCAAAACCACTCTCTTATCCAGTTTGTAGTTAAAGAAGGTTGGGATGAGCTTGTACTAGTTTCAAATGAGATAATTTGGGAAAATAACCAAAATCTGCCCTGCATATCAGCCCAAAAATTTCGGCAAAACTCACTGGCCCTCAACTGCTCTGGGTGAAAAAACCCATATGAGTCAATCTCTAGTTTTAGTACGTTGAGTCTGTAGTAGGTCTGTCGTTGTAGGTGTTACTGGGAGTACATGTCATGGTGTTAATTTTCATTGAATTATTTTATTATCCTTGACCTGGTATTATTTAGTATTTCTCTAGCTATGTGTGTGTTTTGAGTTTGACTTCCTGTTGTATTGATAGTTTGCCCTGCCCTTATGTGTCTCACATGTGTGTCATTTGTGTACGTATAAACCCTGTGTTCTCCTTTGCCTTTTGTTGGTTCATTTGTCATTATCAGTTTCACGTCTGTTTGAATTTCTGTCTTTCGTCATCCCTTTTTTTATTAAACAACTTCAGAACTGCAGTCTTGCATTTTGGGTCCCAAGTCTGCTCTAAACGTGACAGTGAAGAAGTGATCATTGCTACAATCAAATGTGTGGTCAACAGTGAAAACAATCACGTAATCAACAGCAAAATGGATCACATGCCCCTTTGCGTTGTGATTTTAAGCTTTCAGAGCACGCTGCTTGCTAATGGGGCTAACCTCAGTTTTTACCTGAACTACAGCGATTTTTTTTTTTTTAACAATACACAGACCCCAAACATGCCATGTGCTGAGTGAAGACAGAAATATACCTCGTAAAAAAGTTGTCACAGTTTCTCTTTAGCTTCATTTGGATCAGATTTTGTAAAACTGTCATATTCACTGGCCTTTTGCAATCAAAACTACTCATCCATGAATCTACTGTAAATAATATTTGATAATAATGAGACCACTGTGAATCTGCATTATTAAGCATGTTATAGGAAGTGCACTGTTAGCATGGCTTTGAGGGGCACTAACTTCCCAAGTCATGCTGTCATGGATTCAAAATGATGTATTATTGTGTTTTTTTTTCTGTCCCTTGAGATTGACCTTGCACCAGTTTGACCGGTGCTCTCCTCTGCTTCTGCCGTCTGCCCCTGTCCTTGGCTACTGTCTCTCTGCTCCTGTCCTCTGCCCCTGTCCCCTGCTCATTGTGTCCTCTCCCTCTGTTGTCTTCCCCTGTCCTCTCCTCCTGTCTTTTTCTCCTGCCCTCTGCTCCTGTCTCTCTGCTCTTCCTGTCCTCTGCTCCTGTCCCCTGCCCCGTCCCCTTCTCCTGTCTCCTGTCACTGTCATCTGTGCCTGTCGTTTTCTCCTGTCCTCTGTTCCTGTCTCTCTCTACATCTGTCTCTGCTCCTGTCCGCTACTCCTGTCCTCTACCTCTGCTTCTCTCTTTACCCCTGTCTCTCTGCTCCTGCCCTTTGTCTTTTTGTCTTTTTCTCCTGTCCTCTGCTCCTGTCTCTCTCTACACCTGTCTCTAGTCCTGTCCTCTCTATCCATGTCCTCTGCTCCTGTCTTTTTCTCCTGTCCTCTGCTCCTGTGTCTCTACACCTGTCTCTACTCCTGTCCTCTACTCCTGTCCTCTGCTTTTGTCTCTCTCTACACCTGTCTCTGCTCCTGTCCTCTACTCCTGTCCTCTGCTCTTGTCTCTCTATACTCCTGTCTCTGCTCCTGCCCTCTCTACCCTCTCCTCTGCTCCTGTCTCTCTACACCTGTCTCTCTGCTTGTGTCTCTCTACCCCTGTCTCTCTGTCCTTGTCTCTCCACTCCTTTCTCTCTGTCCCTGTCTCTCTAGCCCTGTCTCTCTACTCCTGTCTCTCTTCCCCTGTCTCTCTGCCTTTGTCTCTGCCCCTGTCTCTCTGCCCCATCCTCCCCTGCTATATTTCTCTCCTGTCCTCTCCGCTCTGCTCCTGTCGCGAGTATATATATATGTACAGTATGTATACACTGTAGTGTGCGCTCCGCTCCGTGT